TTTCGCGCCATTCAAGCCAATATGTTTTTCGGGCTAACGACGTTGTACATGGTCATTATTTTGGTTGGCTTGTGTTGTGTGAAAAAATTTGAAATCTTGATTTTTCTTTACAAAGATTACGCCCTTATTTTCACCTTTCAGACACCTGCAACATTCAAGCATTTATGGTTTTGGAATAACTCGTAACTTTTTCCTCATTCTACTTAAAATCGATGTAGGTAGGTACCAAAATGTAGAAATGGAGGAGTAGAATCTGTACCACTATCTGATGGTCTATACCAACGCTCTAACGCATCGATAAGCGCTCCATAGTTCTGTTGTGAAGCAGGTCGGAAAAATTTCTTATAAATCTAGGTGTAAACTTTGTCTAGGGGCAGGGCACGCCAAAGCTCCTAGAGCACTAAGTTTATACACAGGCCCTGCGATCTCCAATTGCCAGTGATAAACCGCATACTACTTTCTTCCACTCCTCTAGATGTCCCGACATCAACAGGATTATAGTATATAACCTAGACATGCCAACACATGACAATATGATAAAATGTTCTTCATCTGATCATAACTGATAATAATTCATTTAATGTTTAGCTTTTTCGTTCGCCGTTCTTGCATTTCGTCGTTTTTTGTGTTTTCAAGTGATTTGAAAGTTGTTTTGTGGGTTTCACGAGGACCTTCAAACTTTATAAATTGGAAGATCTATTTCAATCTTTGTTGACTGGATAAACGACAGGTTTCATTAATCAACATCAATCAAAGCTTCGAATAAATATGTTAAGGATACAATACAAAACACGAATTAATTTAAGCAAACATTATTTGTCTCAGAGTCCAGATTTGAAAAGCCCGACAGTAATGCGAACAGAGCGCCATCTATCATAAAAATGCTACATAGGGCATTTTTATCAAAGATGGTAGGTGTCTGTAGCCTCAATGCAGAACTAGTGGATAGTGATGATTCCAAGATAGTAGATAGCACTGACTTGGCAAAATTTTGTTGGCAGTTTATAGAGCATTTATCTCTGGTTTATACACATATTAGGAATAATTTTATGAGAATAATCGGCAATCATGGGTCGGGAATATCAAAAAAGAAAAAAATCATGTGCAGCGCCGTACACGTGGTAGAAGTGAAACTTCTATTACTTCATATTGAGTGTATACGTCGGTCGCTCTTTCTTGTTCCACTCTCGTTGCATCAGAGTTGTACCGCGCGTATCCACGTCAGACTCTCTATTGTCTAGTATTCGGTGAATACGTGGCTTTCTCTCTTGCGTGTACAAATGCTTCCTGAAGGCCGTTTTACAGCTTGCAAGAAAACTTGAATGCCATTTTTTGCATGCAAAAAAATTGCATTCAAGATTTCTTGCACGTCGTTTTACACCTTGCAATTTGACTTGTTTCTTTCTCTAACCTTAACCATACTTTTTTGTTTTTAATGTTATATTGTTGATGTTCGCATTTTCCAAAAATAAAAAAAGTGATTATAAGTCGATATAAAAAGAAGAAAGCAATAGCAGCAATTTTAAGCATCATATTTGCTAAAAATTCCCCAGCTTGCACGAAAACCTTCAAGAAAAATGGCACCAAACCGATTGCATGCAATGACATTCAAGTTTCAAGAATCTTGCAAAAACCAATCAGCTGACTCACTTCTGCGCATGCCCTCGTTCAAGTTTCTTGCATATTGCAGATAGAATTGCAAGCTGTGAAACGGCTTTAAGCTATTGCCCCTTTGAGCAACTGAGACTTTGGACATAGCGCACGAGTGGGGGGTTAAAGATGAAGGACCGACAAAAGGGAGACGCGAATAGCCGAAACTCTTTTCTCTGTCTTGCAACGAAGGCCTGTCTTAGACATAGCTATGTCTCTCCTTCTCTCTATGTTATACTTTTCTCTCTCTCAAGTAACGAAGTGGGCCTAAACGTGACGCGTGTCTCAAATCACTCTCCATTCTCGTCCGAATATCAGACCACCGCCTAAGAAGTTTCACTTCAAAAATCCCAAAACACAATGATAATACACACATCAAAATAGTCTAGGGAACAAGATAATACTTACACTTATAAGAATTTTTTTCTGATTTTATTTCTAACATATTTGAACTAAACAAGTTTGCAAAAAAAAACTGATATGGTAAATTTGACAAGATTGGTTTAATGAATAATACCACTTTATCTTTTTTTTATAAAGTTGTTCTTTGTTAAAATTGGAAAACAGATATTTCTTGTTCCCTAGACTATTTTGATGAGTGTAGTAGGTATAATAAAAGGAAAACGAGTATCTGTAATGACGTCAGAAGTATATTGGCGCTTGTCTCGCCAAAGTGTATCTACGCAATTGAACATTTTCTTGCTTGAATACCAGGAGAAAACATCAGTATTCACCCCTTATTGAACAAATGATACATTGTAGTTTCTCAAAGATTGGCGTGCAAAATTTCACAGAATCTGAGAAATTTTATTCTTTGAATTAATTATCACTTGCTCACCTAACAAAATTCTATTTACCCTTAATATCGGTACAATTTTCACCCTTCAGCAATATATTATAACCGTAAATTTCCGAACACGAACGAATTTCAGGCAAAATATTCATGGAAATATTTAACCTTCCATTAGTCGCGCTGAGAGATACATGCCTATTATTTTTGCAAATATGTCAAAAAGGAAAAACCCTATAATATTATGGCTTGTAGTAGTCCTTAGGTACCCTATACTGATCACTTTCCCGAAATTATATGGTCGTACCTCTATTTGGAAATTTGGAAATTCTAAAAAACTAGGGGTGCGCTCGGCTTTGTGCCTGACTGATACAACGCGACTTTTCTTATTACCAGCGGTGCTCCTCAATTGTAACTGTTTTCTTGGTATTTTTTTCATATAAATATTGTGGTACAAGAGGGGGTGTTCATCTTAGGTGAAGATGGAACTCGATGAGACAAAATTCCTCCCAAGCTGACTCGGAGAGACCACATAATATGGTAAAGCTGCCGGGCGTTGTTGGCCAAACTGCAACGACTGCGAAAACAGAATCCAACTTCTGGAATCTCTTTTTCAGTAAAAAATGATTGTTGAGTACACGAATAAATACATAGAAATTGTAAAACCGAAATTCATCAGATGGTTTAATTTTTTTATTAATGATTTAGTACATGTATCTCTGTGATACAGCGCGACTAATGATATTATAAAAACTTGCGCGCCTAATGGAGGGTTAATACCCCGCACAACTGTGCCCCCAATTTCAATGTCTGTATGTCCATCAACATGAATCTTGACGCGTTGGTGCAAGCCGTTCTGAGTAGGCCACCTTTAGTGCCATCTGTTAATTTCTATAACCAACATTAAATTAGCTTAGGATCAATAACGAATAGAGATATTTATTTAAATCTCTATCGATTTCGACAAGAGAGACGAAGACAACAAGTGCCATAGAGATTACAGTGGCTAAATAAACTTTTACATACAGTGGCGACAATAGAGGTCCCGCCGCCATTTTGTTCCCAACCTCTTGTTACTTTTAAATATAAATATATAGGATTTAAATCGACATCTATCATGAAAAATTGAAATCGACGTATTTGATGACTGTTATTAGGTCCATCAAATACGTTGTTTTCCATGTTTTATGAGGGATGTTCACCTAAATCCCATATATTCAGATTTGAAATAAGCAATAGGTGGGAACAAGATGGCGGCGTTTTCAATATAAATATATGGGATTTTAGAACCAATCAAAAATAAGACAGCAATTGTCGCCACTGTGGGTAATAGAGTCACTGTAATAGCGATAGGGATAACGATCTCTATCCGTTACAGAGTTCCTGGAATCCCAAATTGAAAAAGCGATTTACGAAAATCGTTTTGAAGGTGTAAAAAAAAACGGCTCATCAGAATTGGCATAATAAATTTGGTATAAACATTCTTTGATCGATTATCTAAAGATTTTTGGAGTTATTTTTTTCAATTTTTAGCGATTTTTTTTTATATTTGGGAAGTAGGTACCTAATCCATAGCAAGATCTTTTTCGAAAAATAGGCAACCAATAGAAACAGCGGCGTGCTGTTTCCACCTTAAAGCAACAAAAGCAGATTTTCCCCCAAATAATCCAAGCTACGATATTCCCAAACAGGCAAATTCCTGATTCCATAATATGGGCTTCTTTCATTGCAAATGTATTTGATGATTCAAGGGGTCAATGAGTAAGTTCCACGGTATACATACAAGTAAATTTTATTGAGTTTATATTTATTTAAATTTAGTTTGATTTCGATTATCCAACCTCAGATAAATTCAAAATAAAATGATCTGCGCAATTTTTTGAACACCATGGGTGTATATCTATCCTTTGCTTTCATATAGGGTAAAAAAGAAATACCTCGGGTTAAGGTACCCATGAAGATGCACCAATATATCAAATAATAGGGACCAAAAATAGAAAGAAACTCAAGAAGAACATCAATACTAAAGACATAAAGAACAAGAACGGCTTGCCGCAATTATACCACAACTAGAAGACCAGAGACAGAAAGAGCAGGACCGGCTTGAGACAATTTTACAACAAGAAGATCGAATACAGCAAGAGAAACTAGAAGAACAGGACCGGCTTCAGGAAAAATTTAAATTCCATCGTGAATGGATTTGAATCCGTAATCTGTGAGGAACAAACCAAACTTGAGAAAATTCTGGAAGTAGGTACAAGGGAACAAATTCATGAATGCAATGGAAGTAGTAGAACGTAAAAAAGTTGGGAGTGTTCATCAGAAAGTTGGGAATGTTCATCAGAGAGTTGAAACTCTTCATCTGGAAGTTGAAACCATTCACCAAGAAATGGATAGTTTTGATAAGAAGATTAAAAAAATGGAATGTAACTTGAGGTTAGAAAATGTCTCAGCCTCGCCTAACACCTGGTATCAAAGTTAAGCCACCATCATATGACGGAAAGGCATCGTGGGCCATGTACGTACAGACGTCAATTCGAGACTGCTGCAATGGCTAATGGCTGGAGCTTCGATGACAGGGTTACAGGCTTGATTGTAGCATTGCCTTAGACCTTATAGAGACCGTACCTCCAGCTTTCCAACAAAACTATGGAGCGCTTGTTGATGCGTTGGAGCGTCGATATGAAAACCAACACCGAAGGCAGCTTTACCAGGTATTACTACTGAGAACCAGGCAACAAGAAGCCGCAGGAAACCTACAAGAATTTGAAACCGTTACGTGGTTACTTTGGCCTATCCGGAAGCAGCAGCAGAAATTCGAGAACAACTAGTGATTGAATATTTTAAATATGGAATTTAGAGATATGGATGTACAAAAAATGCGGCTCACATCAAATAGCAGGGTTTTCCTATGAAAGAAATTTGAGTTTAATGTGGATCAATTTGAGATTTGGATAACCTAATCTTCATAAACCATTTTATCAATGAAAAAAAAATATAAAGCAAATAAAAAAACAAATTAACTGATCACATTTAATGGTTATAAAACAAATAATAAAGCCAAAAACACAACACAATGTTCAAAAGTCTACTCTCTACTCTATAACATAGAAACATTAAAGCAAAAACAACATTCAAACAAAAATACAATATTTAAATATGATAAGAAACAAAATTATCTTCTTTTCCTCGCATTTATTGAGTACTTGTGGTCGCAACGTCTTCGACCTCATCTGTCAGATCGATGACTTCCGAAGATACCTAGAATAAGAAGGATTAAATAAAATGAACATTGAAACTATAAATCCTTACCTGTCGGATAATGACTGGTGGTTGTTCAAATTTTTTGATTTCAGTTTTGAATTCTGCCAGGAGATTGACTAAATCTTCATGCTGATCGATTAATTGGCGTATTTCTTCATCGAGAACTGCCAAACCTTCTTCATGTTTTCTTATCGTATGATATAGTTGGGCTCGCTCTCTCCTTATCAAGAGGGATTCGAATATTTTCTGAAGGCGGATTTCTTCTAAATCTGATCTGGTAAGTCTTGCCGAAGAAGCCTCACCATTAAGATTATCAGGTTCATTTTGGCTTGGTTCCTCATTGCTTGTTCCATTAACCTTGGATTTTTTGACAGTTAGTTTGTCTACTTCGTTATTTAAGAGAGAGCGCTTAGATTTTTGTTTATCTGGAAAAAAAATTAAAATTGATTATAAATTTCTGTCAATATCTTATCTTCATCTGCACCAATTCAATTTTAGTATTATCACCTTTCTTGTCTTGATCATTAATATTATTAGTTTTATCTGACTCACCAGCATCTTCATCTACAACCAAACTATTTTCCATTGAAAGGTCCAGAAGTTCGATTTCGTCCTCCATGGATTTGTCAGTTGGAGTTACGTCTGGCACGTTGGAATCCACCTCTTTTGATTGGATTTTATCCAAATCTGAATTGGGGAATTCTTCATCTGAATTCTTTTTCCCATTAGTATCATGGTTGTTGACTTTGTCTTCATCTGTTTGCCGGCGTTCCTCATCTAAAATAATTTCATCGGCGTAAGAATCCATATTGTCGACCACAGCATCCATTGCTCCAATTTCAATTTTGTCCATAATTTCTCCACAAAGTCTAGAACAAAAATAATTATGTTTTACTGGATTTCGTAGGTGGAACAATTTTAGAAGTACAGTTCTCGAAAATATTCTCTAATCCAGAGTAAGTTATTATGCCCTTAGCGTCCAGTGAGGTGGTAGTGCAGGATAGATAGACATTGACCCGGACATTTAAAATAACAAGCTAAATATTGGTGAAAATGTTGAGTATATTGTTCTGATTGATATCCCAAACTTCCCAAAAAATCCATCTTGGGGAATATCGGCCATTTTGAAAAAATACCGCAATCTTGAGTTTGTCGAGTTTTAAGCAAAGCAGCTGAACCAATCATGAGAATATATTCGTTTTCGCACCAAATTTCTTCATTTAGGCTGCCAAAATACTGAAATTAATAAACATAGAACAATTTTGATACTCGAGGAAGAATAAGATTTATTTAAATGCTATAAACGAAAACACAAGGGGTGAATTACAGACATAAGACTAATGTTTGGAAAGAAACTAGACAAAGTGTTCAACAAAAGACAACAACATCACCTGGAGAGAGCGGGCAATATAAACCAAAGACAGTACCGGGTTCAGAGAAGGGACAGGAACTGTTGAAGCGTTTCACTAATGAACCAAGAGTATAGACAGAAATAGGAAGGAGAACTAAAATCAGCTGCTTGTGGGTCTAAATCTAAAAAATGCTTTCACCTCGGCATTGTGAGCGAGGAACTGGAAATCGCAGGCACACCAAGCAACTTTGGACGCATCTGCGAGGACTTCATAAAAGACATACATATGAAAGCGAGTATAATAACCAGGAAAATGACAATAGAGGCTGGCCGCAGGGGTCCTAGCCTAGAATCAACGCTATTTACAGTAGTCATGCAGGGTTGTTTCAGGAGCAAGGGCGCTGCAAACGAGGAGTGGGAAAGAACCAGCAACGAGAGACTAGTTGACACGCAAGCATATACATACGCAGACGACCAATTGCTTGTCATAGCAGGCTTCCTTGCCGATATTGAACGCAAGTGGAAAGCGTGCAAGGCATGGGAGATGGCTAATGATATCAAAGACAATCAAGACAAAACAGAGACATTATTCATACTCAGACATAAAGACTCAAGTGAACCCAGGATAAAGATCGAGGACAAAATAAGAATATCTGAATTACCTGAGACTGACTTTTGACAGACAGAGGAACTACATATAAAACTTGCTTTTCACTAAAATCAAAGTGGCAAAGCTGACCATGACGATAAAGACATCTGGATGCAGCGGCTAGATTTAGACCTTTATTTTTAATAACAAGCAGCGCATACGGCACGACCGGCAAACTGTGCGCTACGAGTCACGGCAGGCATTCCGCCGTTCTAGCTGTAGGCAAAGGACATAGAAGGCAAGACTGGATCGATCTCCACACAAATAGACCGACCGATAGGCTAAGACCAACAGACAAACCGAACCTTGCGACAAAGGGGTGGCTCCAAAACCAAGTGGCGGAGAACTGGCACGTAGACGCCAGTACAAATCAAGAGAGAAGAACGGGGACTGGCGTACATATTGCGATTGGAGACAGAATAAACATAGACAGAGCAGAAATAATGGCAACCACATGACAGTGTTAACGGACAGAGTACAAACGATAGAGCAAAGTATGAAACATAAAATAAAAGATAAGCTGACGGCGCATGTCTTGAAGCTAGCGGAAGAGACCCTAGAACAATACTAAGGGGTTACATGGAAGAAGGGCCTCAATGAAAATATACCGGAGAACAAAGCAGCAGATAGGCCGGCCAAGATTATTCTATAAAGTCCCGAAACATACAGGAACTTGCAGACCTATCTACACACGGACAGAGACAGAAGAAAGAAGGAACGAGAGCACAAAATTACAACACAATGGCAAAGGACATGGGATGCAAAAGATAAGGGCAGAGAGTCGTACAAACACTGCCAAGAAGTAGGGATGGATTGACATGCTTCAGCTTAGTTTTGTTATGTTCTTCAACAAAACCCTAATAATACTGGTTCGATGAAAATATATAGAAGGGAAAAGAGATGTTAAATAGACAGGGGTAACTAGGGGTGGATGAGTTATATATCTGAGGGGGTGGCAGTTAGTGCCCTACAGTTAAAAGGAGTCCCTGATGATCCGAAAACAGGAAATCTCTGATGCCAAATAATACTGCACCGACCTGAAACTTCCAATAGGAAAATAAAATAACAAAATAATAGCCAGTAGTACGGCCCTGATAAGGGGATACGTCAATATTTATATTTCAATAATTTAAATAAAAATAATCACTGGTTCAAATCAGTCAAAAATGTAAATAAGGCCAGTAAAACTAAATATCTACCTACCCAGAAATACGAAAAACAGTCTTAAAGTTCCCAAACCTTACCTTACATTATGGCTTATTCTGGTGATCAAAATTTATAATTAATTTCCTAATTACATTCATTGAGTTCAAATAAGTGGAGGGTGATGACTGAGTATGGTTCACGTTCCTTCAATCAATACCAAAATACTCAAAAATACCGTCGTAAATAGATCCATTTAAACCTGGTGTACAGATCCACTAATTGGCGGATTGTGAGTGTTAGACGTGGGTTTACACTAATTTGGACTACTTGGAATATTCCAGGAAATGAAAATAATATGGTAGGTAAACGTGAAATTAACTTAATTTAAACCCGAGGGATGATAAGGTAATTTTCAAGATAGGTAGTGGTAATTGAACTAGCTATAATATTGAAGAGTACAAGTGGTTGCAGGTGAGAGGCTCCAGCTCCCAAGGAGATGGTGGAACCCTTAATATAGAGACGGGGTGGATGGTTCCCAAAACGGCACAACAATACGCTAACCTGAGTATACAGTTATTTGATGGAGTGGTACTACTAGGAACCTCTTGGGGGACGATTGATTTTCACAGGCCCCAAAAGCTCCACAAGCAATCTATCTCTATCAGGTCCAGGATTGAGCACCATCAATTCAGTAATCAGGTGCCTTTGTGCATCTTATGTCAGCAACAGCAGAAAGGGATTTAACGTAACTCAATATAAAAGGCCTAAAAGAGGGAGTTCACACTATAAAAACCCGATTTCAACAAGAATTGAGATAAGTACTGCAATCAATTACGTTTTTGGGGACATAAAACTCTAACAGAGATCAAAATACATGATAAAATGATGAATAATAGGGACTTAGCAATGTGGATTGGCCTTTTCGACACTCAGCACGTGACACGAACCAAACTTATTTTCCAGAATTTGGGTTTTTACGTACTAAAATCTTGTTAAAGTAGCAAATACTTGCTGTGGTGTTATATAGGAGTAGTAGCCACCGTTTAAGACTCAATTACTTCCCAAATATTCACTCAAATTGGCTAAAATGCCTCAGAAGAAAGCTATGCTATAACGTGGCTTCTCTTCTGTGTGATTCTAGAAAAAGAAAAATTCCTCCAAGCGTAGAATTTCTGGTTACACGAATTGAATTCTAGGGAATTTTTCGTTTATTTTTTGTCAGTTCGAATTGTTGGATATTGCGCATTCAATACTCAGTATTCGAGTTTTGGTGTCACAGTTGACTTTGGTTCCTTGTCTGATTTAAACATTTTCCTATTCTAACCCTGTCTAAATTTTCTTATTATTTTAGGCTGGAAACCTGATGTTTTCAAAGTTGCACAATGGAAACCTCTGCAAAAATAGGGAAAACAAATGCTGATTTACTTAATTCCTATAGAACAAAACACAGAACAGAGAACACAATAGTAAAAACCAAGGGCGGATTTAGGTTTTATTTATGGGTGGGGGGGAAAGGGGTAAACAGTGGGATAATGCGCCCAGTACAGGGTGATCTATTATAAATGTCACTTCCTCCTAACTTTTTAATTTGACGTTTTTGACAGAAGTGTCAAAACTATCAAATACAAAAGCTTTAAGAAATTGTCAAAAGTTTTTAACGAAGCCAGTTTTAAGCATACTGGGTGCGTCAAAAAAATGTATAGCAGAGCGAAGTTATATTTTTTTAAATGGAAGACCATGTATATCGTGTGACTATTTAAAGTGCGACCAGCGAGAATTTGCTGGCGGCAAATATGCGAACTAATATTTCTATCTGGCTCTATTCAATTGCAACTGTGTATTTCCATATCGTTTTTTCCTCCGCCTTCACCTCAGACCGGAACGCACTTTTTACAGTTGCCAACCTATTAGTACCCCTCCACCTGATTGTAAATTAATGGATTACATTTGAACAATAATCTGTTTATGAATAATTCTCTCTAAAGTTTAAATGGTATAATTTTTCTTTCTCCAACATGAGACCTTGAAAAGGGTTTTCATGTTTTTCCCTATAACAATTGAAGATAGACATATCAAACCATATACGTTGATATCAGGTTGAAGGGGACTAACTAATAGAATAGGCGAACGATATACGTAGTATTCTACTTGAAAGAATATAATTTCACACTGCTACACTTTTTTGGCGCACCCTGTATGCCCAAAACTGACTTATGGCCGTTTGCACCGACCATTTCAAGGAAGGCTTAACGATAAATATTCCTGACATGACATGACATTTCTACATGTAAAAACTGTCATTTTAAGGTTTACTTATCGTTAAGCCTCCCTTAAAACGGTCGGTGCAAACGGCCATTAGTTAAAAACTTTTGACAATTTCTCGAACTCTTGTATTTGACACTTTTGTCAAAAACGTCCATGAAAAAGTTGGGAGGGGGTGACATTTAGATTACCCTGTAGGTACCTCCTATGATCCGTCCTGCCACCCTATTATTAGGGCAATGCACTGGGGGTAAAACTTACCAAGAGAAAATAAATAGTGTGATGACGGTGCAACTGGTAAAGTAACCAAAAACAACCAAAAAAACCGGCAACGCCTTGCGACATGCGACAGGCGGAAAGAGTCTTAAATCCATCGTTACCGAATTTACAAAAGTTTCCTTATTACGTTATAAGAAGCTCTTTCTTTATCATGTAAAACAAAAAATTGTGTGTATTTTAAC